GCAGCAGCAGCAGCCGCAGCAGCATGGCAGTGCGCCTGGCACCAGGCTCCCCCCAGCGGCCCCCAGAGTGCAGCGGGGGCGGTCGCTGTCTTTTGACGAGACCGTGATGTCACCCTGAACAACGGCGGTGCCGCTTCTGTCACCCTGCGCCTTTTTTCCCCCACGTCACTGCCCATCTGCCAACAGCGACTTGCTTTGAAACGGCAAAGCAAAGCCACCATTCCTGTACTTGCTATGTTGATGACGATACCATTCACAGAGTCGGCTTTTTTAATTTTCTCATGTTTTCTTGTTTTGTCTGCTACTGCTACTCTGGAAGCTGCCAAGGTGCTGCCCGCCTCCTCCCCCCCGTTGATGGCGCCGTGCTGCCCGCCCGCCGCAAATCCTCGCCCTGCGTGAGCACCCTGCACCCTCCTGATTGGCGCGGTCCAGTACAATTCGCCGTCTGACTTGCCTACGTGTGGCGCGCCGGGGCTGGCATTGGAACCCGACATTGCTTGTGTCCAGCAGACAGGTCTCACTAGTTCAGAGCAGGTTTTGGCCTTGTTTTATTACTGCATACGCAGTGAGCATTATTGACTTGCACATGCATTCAGCACAGATACCTGATACTGGTGCGGGTGTAACACACCCCTGCGCCAACAGCCGTGAGCAGCACAGGGCACTCTGACTGGGTTGCTCCCGCGGGCGCTCTCACCCAGGCCTGCTCCTCAGTATCTCAACCCCTGCAACCCAAGGAGGGGCGGCGGCCTTGATACAAAAGCATGGCATGGCAGGACCCTGCCGGACAGCTCAACATTTTGTCACAACCTCGCTGCCATGCGCGCAGCTGTCGGCCGCCTCCATGAGGCCCGCACCCCCTGCAGTCACCCAAGACGCACCTACTGACTCCAGCGGCCCGCTCAGCGCAACGTGCGGCTTGCGCACCGCCACCCGCACAGCCGACACCCGCGGCTCCTGCGCCAGCACGCGGTCGCAGATGGCCTGCGCTGCGGCCTCCACCAGTTTGAAGGGCGGGCCCTCCATCACCTGTCGGTTGTCGAACAAATGATGGCAGCAGACTGAATCCAGAACACGCCACACCTCGCGTTCAGCTGCCCTCCCATTGCAAAGGACAGATCGAGTCGCGGACAACAGGCAGCGGCCCGACCTGCTTACGCCAGCAGACACACACCAACCAGCTCAACGCCCGAGCCAAGACACGCGAGCAAACGGCACCCCGCGGCCCCGGGGCGCACCCCTGGCCCCCACCTCCTGGACCGAGTTGTAGACGGCCGCATAGTTGACGCTGTCGCGCAGCTCGTCAGAGCGCCCTGCCGCCGCGAGTCCCGCGGGGCCGCAGAACAGCGTTGCGTCAACCAGGAACTTCTGGCCCAGCTTGTTCTCCTAGAGACTGGCAAGACGGCGGGCGCACGCCGTGCGGGGTGTTTGCTTGTGTGTATGCATGGCTGGGGGGGGGTCGCAGCGCCGGCGCTGCGGGCGCGACGGGCCGGCCGCAGTGCGGGTGCCCGAGCATGTGGGGGTGAGCGTGTCGCACCCACCTCTGGGAACACGCCGTGAAAGCCATGAAAGAGAAGACCGCGCATTTGGATGGTGTCCATCAGCTGCAAATCCCGCTGGGCTTCAATGCTGCTTTTGCCGCGTGCTCCCTCGCTGGCGGCCGTGCCGCTGTTGCTGCAACAATGCCGTTGCATTTGCCCCGCTCTGCCGCCCGCTCGACATAGCGCAGGCGGCAAGCACCAAGCTGTATTCATTAGAAGTGCTGGTAGAACCACCATACGGTCCATACATGCCCATGAACGCATCTGCTGTGATAGGCGATAGGGACGTGTTGATCTTGATGCTTGAACACGGCAGATGCGATGGTTGCATTGACGGCAAGCAATACTCCAGTCGTGCAACGGATCAGCTGCTTTCATGGAGGAAAAGCCAGCGTTTACGAGTCTCTCGTCACCCGGAACGGTGGCGCGGGTGTGTGTCGCGAGAATGGTTTGACATCAGTCAATGCAAGTTGTTGGCATCAGTTGGTCTTCTTCGTTCCAACACATTCGTTTCTGCAGCGGCCCTTACGCACGCTGCTCGATCAGTTTGGACTGACTCCTTCCGCTTGTGTTTGCATCTGGTGCAGTGATTTTGAAGCCGAAATCCGTAATGATTGCCAGGAGCATGATCCAGGGGCGAGTGCGCGCCCCTGGCGCTCAGATCGCTAGAATGCCTCTCCGGCAGCGCCCGGCCCGCCTGGCACGCCCCATCCGGCCGCATGGTGAGCTGCAGGGCTGCTCTGACCAGTCTCAAGTCGGGCAACGGGGGTTGCCTACCAATGGCTGTGGCGGGCGCCATCTCGTCACCGGCTGTGGCCGCCTCGAACCCTCTGCGCCCGCGGTGCAGCGCCGACGTGCACGGGGCGGCAAGTGAAACGCGCGCGCCGCCTGCATGGCGCGCATCCCTATCAGCGAAACCCCCCGATCGCCGCTGCGTTGCCGCGGCGTCACCTCGCGCCTGTCGCAGCGTCGGATGCTGCCGGCGCCGCGGGCGAAGCTTTTGATAAGCTTGCGGCCAAGGGCGCCGAGGCAGCAAAGCAGGCCCAGGAGGGCCTCGCGAGCGCGGTGCGTTGGCGTCATGGCGTGGGCATGCTGGAGGGGGCGCGCGAGAGGCCCGCATGCAGGTCGCGTGCACGACTCATGGCGCAGCGGCTGAGTACTCGCATGACGCGCGCGCAGTCCATGTGACAGGCGCGCCAGCTCGGCGCGCAGTCCACTTGACAGGCACGCCAGCCCATGTGACTCATAACAGTTTGCCGCCGCGGGACACCCTCTGTATGTCAGCGCGCAGCGCCGGCGGCCCCTGCTAGCAACGCGCGACCCTCCAGCCGCACGCAGTCCGCGCCGCGGCACGCCTCGGGCCCCCCTGAAGCTGGCCCCTCTCCCCCCCCTCAGGCCGCCGCCGCCAAGGAAGCTGCGCAGCAGCTGGCTGACAAGGCCACCAGCGCCATCGACGGCTTCAGCGCGGAGATGGCCGCCTCGGCCAGCGACCTCAAGACCAAGGCCACGGGCAGCAAAGAGGAGTCGCTTGACGCGTTTGACGCGTTCGCTGAGGTGGCGGTGCGGCGCATGCAGAAGCTGGGCGGCGTCATCATCCCGGGGGATGCGGAGG